TGTCTTGATACAAGACCTAAGGTAAAAGTCGTCAAAAGGGTTGGATCACTTCAATATAAAGAAAGGGGACCAAAGGACCAAGAACCTCCTTTCTGCTTTCAACTTAAGTGTGGATAATGTAGACGCGGCTCCTCATAGCATTTTCTTTTCTCTGCTCTTCAAACTTTTGCAATATGAGCACTTCTCACTCTGAAGAGACAAACCCTCCGCTAGATAGCCCAATCCGAAGGCATCGACCAACTCACTTATGGAAGCCATCGATAGCAATATCAGCAACAGTATTTTTGGTTACACTTGCCGCAGCGATCCTTGGCAAACTTCTGCTGATGCAAGCCGGGCAAATGCTAATGTTCCTTCCAAGACTTCTTGTCAACCTTCAATGATCTCTTTTTTTATTCAAGGAAACATGCTTGGACCCTTAGTTAATTTTTATTGCTTATCTTTTTTAGACAGGCAGATTGCCCGTTTAGCTGATTTCTTCCAGGCTCAGATTGTATGATCCATTTGGTTGGCAAGGCTAGATGAAATTCCATAGCAATGTGATACATAGATAGAATGGTCTCAAACTAGTGGGTTTGCAGATTATGGTACGTCTGCGATTAAAAGAAAGATAAGAGAAGCTTTTGAAATTAAGAGATTAGTAGATTGAATAAAAGAGATATTATTGAGCCGCCATCCATAAGACGACTCAACTTGTCCGCTCAGTGATAGTTCTAACTTCACTAACACTAGTCCAACATGTTAGATTAAGCTCATCAACCAAAACAGACGAACGAGATTACACAACCCCAGTCATGCCTTTCCTTGAATGTTTAAACCCTTATGACCCTAAACTGAGAGGTTAGGACAGGTGGTTTCTTGATCTGACTAACGCTTACAAGCTTACATCTCATTATCTCGATCATATTTTAATTATGGACTAAGGAAGTCTCGATCAGAATTTTTTCTTAGGTCATTAAGCCTTGATGACAAAGCCCTTTTTTATCACTCTAATTCAGGACTGGTATTGTGTATAGACTTTAACACACGCACGAGCAAAAATAGCAAGCAAAATATGAAATATAATTAGCCGAAATACTCTATATATATCTACGCTTATTAATTTGCTTAATTTGCTCTTTATAAGAGGTAAGAGATAGCCGGATAGTCTTCTTTTCCTAGTGTTAATGTGGGATTTTTATAAGAATGAGTTCCAGCTCTGATAATGCCCATCATATGCTGGACGAAAGCTCACCCCGTTCACACCGGAGGCGAGGGAAGACGTTTTGTGGACTGCGTCAACCAGAACAATTGGAATCGGCCGTCTTCACCTGATGAGATCGACCTTCGAATATCTTCTTCATGCACTTCCATACGAAATAAAAGTCCCTCCAACAATACTAAGATCAAATATTTACTATAGTTTGGGCTGAATTGGGAATCTGTACGTCCCCTCAAAATCAGAATGCCAAACAAATTTGAATCGCCCAGTTAGAAAGTAATGATTACATAGATTAGGGGGTCAGATTGTTGAGCTGGAGAAACCAGACATCGTAAAAGAAGAATAATGGTGGGCATGGCTTAATAGGGAATATTTAAATGAGGATCTGAGTGATCAAGATGGATCACGGTCTCTACAAGTAAAGATTAAATGTACACAGTCCGAGTGGTAAGATCACAAATCTGCACACAAAAAGTTAATAGCTCCTTATTTTTTCATATATTTAAAAGCAACTTACTTTATAACACCATCTACCCTTGAGATGGTATGCCCAGGCATTAGTAGGATCAAGTGTAACTGCTTTGTCGATCAAAGTCTATAATGAAAAAAGCGCCAGTGAAGACAAATCTGCATATGACTAAGGGGAGATAAAATTATTTGTAAGAGTAGCATCACTTGTAATCATAAGATGTTAAAATGAGTGAACATGCAGGAAGATGGCAATAAATTGTGTATGGAATATGTATTTGCGAGTATAGATTATCCTCAATGACATATCTTATAAAAATTTAGATTAATGTGGCGTTGATATGACCAAAGTTTAAGAGGCATAAATCAGCATGCCTTTAAACCTAGACTCAGCATCAATTTGCCGTGCTTAAGATGAGATGAATTAAGTACTTAATGAACCAGAGCCAATTCTGTGGATCCTATCAATGAGTGGGCAGGCAATAGATGACACTTGACTACAATGCCTTTGCTTCAAGACAAAATGAAAAGTTCTTTCTATTATAATTTATATCTTTGTACAAGATCATAAATCACAAGAAACTGGCAAATCCAACGAAGGCTGAGGTAAAATGTGCTCGCATGTACAGCACCTATTTAAAAATTGAATAACTAACTTCAAATATATGTGATTATGAGGAAGTTTCTAATTTGTTGGGTTCAGCTGTCATTTGCGAAATGATTGGCTACAACTTCATAGGAAATGTTTCAGAAAATTGATCCGGTTTGGTATAACAATGGGAGCAAAATAATAGAGGGCATTTTTTGCTATTGATTTTTCAAGATATAAATGTAAAGGCCGGGCATAAAATCACAGCCTACTTATAAACGAAAAAAATAATTGGGTCTGCCTCGTAATTCCCAGCATCAGACCTGACAATAAGACCAGGTTGCAAGAACGAGGACAATCCACTTCTATAAATCGAAAGAAAACCGCGACCATACCGAGAGCCACAGCATCTTGATCCTCATATCTTCGGAAAAAAAGAATGCTTACCTTTTAGTACGACCCGTGATACCCCATAACGCTATTAACAAATATGTTCTTGGGCAAGATCGTTTCTGTCGGTGAACGGACTTTTAGGGTATGGAACCTAGTTAGGCACGATATCTAAAATAACAGAAGCTGCTCCAAATGAATGCAGTCAGATCAAAGAAGCCAGAGCGATACAACACTACCAGGTTGCTGCAGACTAGATTTAGGTTTAAAGAGAACTAGAGAACTCATCCTAATTTTTAACTATATTCCATCCAAATGGCAACACGAAGAAAATATCAAAAATACCCTTCCAGAATAAGCAAACTTTCGATGAGGTATCTTGGCCCAGTGAACTATCAAATCTCTTGCCGCAATAATCGTGCACAAGCGATCAGGATACTATATAACCAGAATGGTGCTGTGAATCCCTATGATGAATGCCATATTAAAATATCTTAAAGATAGTAACCGGCCAAATTGAAAAAAACGTATAAATTTGATGCATGTGGAATCACTATCATAAAATAAATAGATGAGTGAGAAGAAATATAGCAGATTTTAAGTCAATCAGGATATAGAATCAATAAAAAGGGTAGTTTAAAATAGGTTTTCACAGTTCTCTTCGAACTAAAATAACAAAACTGAATCGAGAATTTCTAGACACAAAAGGTTAAATTAAACAGCTTACTTTAAATTCATGTCCATACTCAATTCGTTTCTGCAACCCCCCACGTGTGGCAGCCAGTCCGACCAGCACAGCGAGCCAGAGATAGGTTTGGGCCACTTCATATTGCCCAATTAAAGATGCTTCCAGAGGCTCATTAGAAGCCTGATTATCAGTAGAAGCAGCCGATGTGACTAGCCTTAAGGCCCGGCGACCGACAGCCAATCCGATATGAATGAAATCAAGTCGACTAGTAATACGGATTAGGCCATCAGAGAAGGAAAGGTTAGGGTCAAGGGAGAAAGAAGCCCTGGCTGAGGAAATGGATGACGATGAAGATGTTAAAGAACCTAAACTTGCGCATGGCTGGCCAGTGTCTAATGAGGCAGGCTCAGGGGTGTCGACCGCATCACGACCTGCCAGAAAGGCTGCACGCGCAAGCCTCCATAGATAGGATGGGCTGTGACGGAACTAAAAATAAGATTGTTATAAAACAATAAAACAGAAGTCGAAAGATATTAGAAGATATAGTTTATGATGTAGTTAACTTGAGAGCAATTCCAAGAACAAATTAAGCAACCAGAGCCGACTACGTAATAAATAATACAATGTTGGTTCTAGGATGTGCACAAAAAGGTAAGCAATGTCAAAAAAATATAAGATAAATCCAATAATTTACATATGAAATACTAGTGAAAAGGGGGACTGATCGAAAACCCGAGATCTCAAAGAAAAGGCAACAGTTCATCAAAAATTATTTAAACTATAATTAGGCCACGAGAGTATCAATAATTCTTAAATAAG